GAAAGAGTAGATCCAGGAACTACACACCATTTGCTACATTTTCTGGTAATCAAGTTTCTATATTGGCTACTAGTTCATTAGATCTATTTATGTCCATTTTTATGAGGGTTTTGGTCCAAGTAGGATAGCTTTCGGAGAATGATCGACCCAAGTGGGTATTCTTCCAGATCTAGGGCCTAGAGGGGCTGATATGACATAAAGGTGCAAACTTTATGTCATTGGAGCCCCCATGTAAGCCATAGAATGTCATATTGGTCTTTTTAGCCCCAAAAGGCCATGCATGTGGAAAAAGGTGGGAACTTTACATGACTAAGCAATGTTAGGGGTTTAGATCTGAGGTTGCAAGCTTTAGTTTGATGTATGAATGGCTTAAGGACCAAGTTCTAGGTCCCAAGGAATTAAGGTTTGAGCTAAACCCTTTAAGAAGAGGTATTAATGGGTAAAGTTAGAAATTTTACCCTCAAAAGGACATTTCAGGGTTTATGTGAAGTATGAAGCTTAGATCTGAAGTGTAGGGCTTAATCCTTTAAGATAGCCCAAACAGACAGGGGAACTCGGCGAGTCCAAAAAGGGACTCGACGAGTCCAAAAAGGGACTCGACGAGTTAAGTTGGGTTGTCCGGATTCTATGCTAGGTAGAACTCGACGAGTCTGTGAAGGGACTCGACGAGTTGATTCGGTTGATCACGAGTCTGAGTAGTACAGGAACTCGTCGAGTTAGGAGGTAACTCGACGAGTTGAGTCGACTGGGAGTTGACCTTGACTTTGACTTTGGCCAGGATGTTGACTTTGACCAGGGGTAAAATGGTCATTTTACCCTAAGAAGGATTATCAGATTTTGATTAAGTGTTATTGTGAAATTGATAGCCGATGAGTCGTTGGAGCAGCCGTTAGAGATTCCTCACACAAGATTTCACAGCTAGCATACGAGGTGAGTTTCCTCCAGTAAGAACGGGTCTAAGGCACCAAGGCCGTCCCGTTTAGTTAGTAGTAGTTTCGGACTACGGTTCGATGCCGGGTGGGGCCCAATGTAGGTTTATATGTTTTTCTGGATTTCGATCCGATGCCGGGGCGGTCCCGAGGAATGCTTGTATGCTTGATGTCATTGTAATTCTTGCATGTGTTTGTACTTGTATGTTTCCGGACTTTGGTCCGATGCTAGGGCGGTCCCGAGGAATGTTAGTATAATTCTGGATTACTGTCCGATGCCGGGCGGGGCCCGAGGAATGTTTAAATGTTAATGATATATGCTTAGGTTTATGTGTATTATTTGATTATGCTCACATGTATTCCGAGGTGTGCTCGATGCCGGGCGGGGCTCGATGCCGAATAGGGTTCGATGTAGCAGGGGCGGGGCCCAAGATATGTTTATGTGATATGTATATGGTATGTGGTAGTTGGGGAGACTCACTAAGCTTTGTGCTTACAATTTTCAGTTTTGGTTTCAGGTACTTCCACTAGCAAGGGGAAGAGCTCGGGATGACTGCATGACACACCATAGGTTTTTTTATTTTTATTATTTTTTTATCATGGGAGGATTTACTCTGATATTTTGATATATGATTTTGATACAATACTTGGATATGATGTTTTGGATACATGACTTGTGATTTTATTATGATATCGTTGGATTATGGTTTTCGTAAATCATTTTTAAAAAGAAATTTTTGGACCATATTTTTGGGATGTTGCACATTGGTCAAGATGACGTAAACAATTTGATCTAAGGGTGAAAAAAGTATAAGTGAAACAAAATCAAAAATATTTATTGCTTTAGATGATGAAAAAAAATTCTCTTTTAGACATAGAATTCAATCTTCTATTTTGTAAATGTAAATGTCTTACACTTGGGTTGTGTTGACTTAGTAAGACATGTGGAAGATATGATGGATAACCTATTGACCCATGTTAAAATCCTGACACTACTCAGCCTCTGTGGCCATGGAGGTTCGTCTATAGTGACTCCAAGGCGTGAGACATAACCTCATGTTCGCAGCGTGGGATTAGTCAGTGCGCGAAAGTTGGCCCGGAAACCCTCGTTAGGGACGTTCCCTTTCCAAAAAATATATATATATATAAACGTCTTAGTCTTCGCCTCGCTCTAACGTCATTGTAATGAGTTTTACTATTTAAATCTGTAAAATTGTGGATATCATTAATATCTAAAAAATAATAATATTTCAATGGTAGATGTTTACTAATAAATTTATCAATAAATTCACAAGGAACTATAAATAATTGTTTTAAAAGATTTATAAAAGTTTATAATTTTATAAAAAGTTGTAGTTTGCTAATATTTATATTGAAGTTGTAATGAATAACATTGTAACAATGCTGAAAAATTCACATTCAAACAGCATTATAGAGTAAAAAATGATTAAAATTCTAAATTCATATGAGTTTAAACTCAAAAGGCAAATAGATGAATAATTCAACATTTCATAAAACCAAAAATGTATTTAAATGATCAAAATTCTAACCCAAAAAACGAATAGTATGAAACAAAGTAATAAAAAACCAAACCCAAAAACCAAATAGTATGTAAACATAATATAAAATCAACCGTACTCAAATCACCCAACTACTCATATAAAATCATGAAAATCATATATTATTTTTCTTTCTTTGGAATTAACAGTTTTGGCTTGAATTCTCCAGAAGTACGATCTGTCATTGATGTTAATGATCGTTTGGTTGAGGACATTGTTTCCAGATTATCAACATTGTAAACATCTTCCAAGTTGTGTTTTAATTCTTCATGTATAGACACTTTTTTTAAAGGGTCAGTGGACTTGTTGCAATACTTTTATCAAAATTCGAAGCGGGTGTGACGTTATCACCAGTAAACGAAACTACATCCTAAATATAGAAAATAAATTCATATGTCAATCTAAAAGTTAATAATATTTTAAAGTATTTAAAATATTAGATTTAGTTATATTATATTTAAAACCTTTAAATTTAGTGTGTCTTGACATCCGAATTTCGCCGATAAAACGTTAAATGAATCGGATTACGTCGCCTATATTTGTAGTACATAGAAATATGTTAGTTGATCAACAAAAATATAAAAAACGAATCTAATAAGTGTAGTGTTTGTAGTATGTTTCGTAAAAGAATGTTACCTGTTCAATGTTAAATTCTTTTTTCCAATTCAACAGTGGTTTTACTATCAACATTGAAGTTTGAGATTGCATAACCATCAACATTGTTCTTCAAATTATAATGAGAAATTTGAATTGTGAACGCCAACTTTTTATCCAAAAGCAATTTCAAAGCAGACGGATAAATCTTCATATTACCCTCCTAAAAATGAAAAAAATTAACGGTTATAAAAATAGACAAACAAAAAGTAAAAATTAGTTTTATGTAAATGAAGTTAATATCGATAACCTCATTAAACTTTTGAAGCAACTCTTGTGTGTTTTTTTTTCCAGAAGTTTCTTAAAGTCACGATCAAATAACGTAAGTGACACAACGCCGGTAAAGTCTTGTACTATAATGGTGATTTTGAAACTAAAACCATTGATATAAACAAATTCAATAATATAAAATTAGAAAATTTAATCGAAGATTTTGAAACTAAAACCATTGGTCCGTTCCACTAGCTTTGTCATTATGCATTAAAACGACTTTTATGGCTTTCTCTTCACAAACATAGGTCAACACATTAAAAAATCGATATAAAGGGTATAATTTTGTTTCTATAACTAAATGAATGAACTAATATGCTTAAAGTAGATTGATTAATTTTTTTCATGACCTCTCAACAAGAACACAATAATAACAAATAATAAGAACATAGCAAATGCAAGAAATTGAAGAAGAATAAGGAGAGAGTAAAGTAAGAGCTTGGAAAAAAGAATTGGAGAAGAAGATTGCTCAAGAAGAACACTGTAAATCATAGGACTCAATCCAAAATCGTAAGAATAACCACTTCAGTGTAATCGTATATATAAGGTGTTTTTGAATAAGGAAATCATTATCTTCTAAAAAAATTGGGATCCTAAGATATCATCTTGGAGATTTTCGGCTATTCATCTGGAAAAAAAGAAAGATATCAGCTATATTAATTCAAAACTTCAAATTAATTAACTTTCTTATTTAATCAGTTTTAAAATTCAAACAATTATCCCAAACTGATTCATTTTATGTGGGATATACTGGGAGATAAATTATTAATAATATTGACTTTTAAATATTTTGTTGATTTAATGGGATTAGATTAGATTTTATAGGTTAATAACTTAATTATTGATATGCTTGTTTATGAGTTTTTTAATACAATAAATAAATAAAAAATAAAATATAAACGCGTTTGAATTTGGAAATCAAAAGCTATAAATAAAGGAGTTAAATTAGGAACAATATTAATTAGAGAAACTTATATCATGTATATAAATAGAATGATATGTTTCAATTGATAAAATAATTACTCAATTTAAAGATTCTATAATTATTACAGATTCTATAATTAAATGTAATTGTATTTGATTTTTATTTGGGGAAAATGATGTCAACAATTTGATCTATGAGTGGAAAACATATGATTGAAATACAATCAAGAGTCCTGATTTCTTCATTCGTGAATTAAGGGTTCTCTTTTAATAATATTTAAAGATATTAATCTATGCGATTAAATAAATGATAGGAATAAAATCATCCTACCGTATTGAACGGTGAAAGGTGGAATTAGTGGACCCAACATAATTTATCCATTATCGTATTGAACAATAGCACCATAATAACAAAAATGCAAACATTAACCACTTAAAAACTCGAAAATAGGTCATGAAGGTCATACAAAAAAATGAAAGATGGTGATAAATATAGGATAGTGTACAAAGTCATAAAATATAGTAAAACAAAATGCAAAATTAGTCAAAATCCGATTTATAATGTCAATTCGTGAATTTTTTTTAATGAATTTTGCTAAATCATAAGGACTAATTTGCTAATTCTTGATGTTTTTAGGAATTAAGTAATTATTTTGTAGGAGATGTAAAAATCATGATTAATTTTTGTGATCAACCATTTTCATAGACTGATGAACCTCGAAACGGTTTTGATGCTCTAATCCATTGTGCGTTTTGGTGTTTCGGCGCCAAATCCCATTTACACGCGCACGTACCTCCTCTTCTTCTCCCTGTTTCTAGATAAAACCTAGGCAAAGAAAACAACAAATCGATTCCCCTTTCCCCTTTTCGATCTTCAAATCGATGCATATCTAAACAGTTTTCTCTCTGTAACTTCTTCTCTTTGCTCTAGAGGGAGAAAGTGGAGAGAGAGGGAGGAAATGGCGATGGTTGATCATCAATCCAAAACCTGCGTTGTTCTGGGAGGTAGAAGCTTTGCTGGGAGATGTCTTGTTGTGAGGTTATTGAAGCTAGGTAATTGGATCGTTCGAGTTGCCGGTTCCGCTCACTCCCTTCAGCTTGATCCTTCCGATTACGATTACGACTTGCCTTTGAACCGTGCTCTCTCTACTGGTCATGCTGCCTATTTCCATGTTGATGTGCGCAGCAGAAGATCCGTCATCAATGGTACTTTATAGTTTATATTTATATATGTATGATGATTTCCTTTTGTTTCCTTCTCTTTTCATTTTTATGTTTTACTTCCTTTACCATAAAAATTGCATCAGTTATTGCTAGTGAGATTTTTCCTTGAATGTATATGCGTACTTCAAGTTTCTCACAGTTTGTAGCAGAATTTCTTCCGATTCTGTCAAATAGATGTGGTGAGAAGCTCAAGAAGATTTATGGCAAAAGTGAATGTTGTAATTAATCACATGCAATTTGGTGTAATTAATAACATGCCACTGCTTCTAATTGTAACTATTAGGTGTGACTTACTTTCACATACGTAGTTCTCACATTTCTCGATTTAGTTTCTAGGAATTCAGTGATAGCCTATGTGGAAGGCCACATACAAAAACTTTCTTCTCCAAAGTATTGCAAAGCAAAGGGGTTGGTGCAAGGGTTACCCTTAGGGAAAAGCTACTTTAAAAATTTAGATTAAAACTGGAAAACTAAGCCCATAGGACAGAGAAGAGCTGGTTTCTGTATTGGGTGAGATGCATACCAGGTGTTGGATTTTGCATTGACAATAGAACTAAATACTTACAAAATAAGAGTGGTACAATAATTTAGCCAAGGAACTGAAAAAGAAACAACAATTGAACCAAATCAGATGGCATGGCATCTCATCTAGGCACAAAACAGTGCACACACTTGTCACATTCTGTGTGTGTGTGTTTTCTTGTGGTTGTGTGGCTCCTTTTTTCAACTAGACCTATTTAACGACTCTTCACAATTAAGAGCTCATTTGTGTCCATCAAAAGTATAAACTGATGTGCCTTAGAATCATACACAACAAGAACATGATTGATTTTCTTAGTTGAACTCATCAAAACTTTGCTTATGATAATTTCATTGCTAATATTTTCTCTGCATGTTTTCATCTGACTAAAAAGTCGACACACTCTAGAGAGAAAAACATACAGTGATTCCTTTTAGGTTCTTTGATGAACAGTGTCTCAAATCCATGACAAAGATATTGCACTGATTCCTTTTCTTGGGAAACATCTTTTCACCCAATCCCAATTGGTTGAACAATAAAAAAAAGGGTATATGACATCCCTTGGTGCCCCACCAAGTAAGGAATTAGATAGAGGGTAGTTCATGTTGAGACTTTTTTGAAGATTGCAATTAGAGGCTAAGATGAAGGATTAGTACTTTTGCTTGCATGGGTGAGAATTGTGTTTTTTCTTTAATGTGTTCGACTCAGTTTACTCTTTTATTATGCTGGAGAGAAAGAGTGGATTGAAACCTAATCTTTTTTGGCTATTTTGTAAAGGTCCTGATGCCACTGCTGTAGAAGAAGGAAATTATGTTTTACTGCATTAAGAAAATGTGGAGTACAGTTTACAGATTATAACTAGAGTTTTGTGAAAACAGTAGAGAAATACTAAAGACTACACTAACTATGTAGTTATAACAATCCACTAGCTAACTAGTTATTCTAAGTGAGTCAACTAACAGAGGTGAATTCTGATGGGGTAGATAGAGAGACATAATGTGTTGTGGTCCATTTATATATCTGCAAGTGACATGGAGTTAAAATATATTTGTTTTTTTGATGTGGAAGTCATCTCTTATTAGTGCTCTTTATATCTTTATCACCATAAAAGAATTAGCAAATTTTTTGGTATCTTTTCTTCTTTATAAAACTTAGTCCTCCAAATAGTGAATTTTAGTTTGATCTTGCCTATGGTTTGTATTTCTTTCCATGATTTCTCTTTAATTTTGTCATTGTATGTAGCTGATGTATGCAATATTTGTATGATGTTGGTAATTTTGATTTCACATACCTTTTTTTAAAGGGTGACACATAAGTCAAAGAACCTTGTTTTCTATCATGGTAATTCAATGCTTGATTGAGAGCTCTTTCAGAAAATGTTTTCTTTTTGCAGCTATTGAAGGTTCATCAGTTGTGTTCTACATGGATGAAGATGATTCCTGCAATCTTGATTTCTATTCTGGGTACACGGTAATTGTTCAAGGTCAATCTTATCACCCCTAAATTATTTAACCTCTAGAGTGTTACATTAAGGTATTTGTAAAAATTCTCATATCTTACAAATTTTTTATTTAATTTAGGTGTGAAAAACGTCATCAGTGCTTGTCGGGAACGCAAAGTTAAACGATTAATATACCAAAGTACTGCAGACGTAGTGTTGGATGGTTTACATGATATACATAATGGAAATGAGAGACTTTTATATGCTACAAAAGTATGTCTCTAAATAGTTTCTCCCTTATTTGTGAAAGATTATTCCACTTCCTTCCTTCCTTCTACATATTGTGAACTTTTTTTAATAAAAAAATTGGAAGAACAAAATTTAATATCGACTTCATACTATTTTAAACTACAAGTTTGAAGATGGGTTTGCATCATCATTAATTAGTTTGTTATCATCCTGCTTTCATTTCTTCTTGTCATGGAATTCTACTTGAAAAATCTACCAAATTATTGCCATTCCATTGAAGCTCAAAGGTAACAAGGCAAGTTAAAGAAAAAAAGTTTGTAGTTTAAGTATAATGCTGCTATAAATATAATGAAACTATGTTGCTATTTCTTGCATTGATTCCATAAAATCAAAACGAAACTAATTTTAAGATGGATTAGTTTTCTGTGTTAATGCAGAAAAGGTGGGAATTCATTATTCATTTATTCTTATGCAAAGCTTCTTACATGATAACTTTGTTTGCTATGTGACAGTTTAAGAATGTATATAGTGAACTTAAGGCTCAAGCAGAGGCACTTGTTTTGCATGCTAATGATATGGATGGCCTTGTTACATGTGCTCTTCGCCCTACCAATGTTTTTGGACCTGGAGACAATCACCTTTTGCCATCTCTGGTTGATGTTGCAAAATCTACTTGGGCTAAGGTGTGTGTTTAACACTGTAACTATAATCCAGTTTTGCAATTTAACTACTTCATCAACATATATCTTTTTTTGTTCCTATTTATCATCAGTCAAATCTGAAAATTTGGTGCAACAAAATCAGGGCTTGTTTGGTTTGTGGAATCTGGTAGAAATAGAATTCGAGATTCCATTCCATGGTGTGTTTGGTTGTCAAGTGGATGGAATTTAATGGAAAATTCCTTCCAAAACACATTACACAAACCAAACGCCCCCTTAGTTTACTTCTAAACATGGTAATCGGAAAATACAAACATATTTGACAACAAATTTGTCTCCTAAATGCACTTTACTCCCTCTCTCTCTCTAACAGTTATAGTTGACATGAAAAGTAGTAGTACCATTTATTTATAATACGTTTGTTGAGAGGTTTAAGTTTTTCTGTTTTAATAAAATTGTCTTGGATATAGTTTTTATAAGTAATAAAGTCTCTCATTCCAGTTTATTATAGGAAGTGATGGAAGCATGTCTGACTACACCTATGTGGAAAATGTCGCCCATGCCCTTATCTGTGCAGAAGCTGCTTTGTGCTCTCGTATGGTTGTTGTTTCTGGAAAGGTAGCTTCTAATAATAACAATGTACTTTCATTTTCATTTGTTTTTTTTAGGCTTCCTACTTTCATGCAAATCACTTACCTTACACCTTTAGTTTATTTCATGATATAAAGTTATCCAATTTTTCTTAGGTATTTTTCATCACTAATCTTGAGCCAATGGGCTCTTGGGAATTTTCCTTACGCATACTGGAGGGGTTAGGTTATTTCAGGTAATAAATGCATCATTTCCAGTTAATAAATTCGGTTGTACATTATATGATTATAAAAATGGCTAAATGTAAGACATAGCAACATATGTTCGTTTGTTCTAATATTGTAGCATCCTATGTCCATTTAATTTATACATCAATGCACTTTTTTTCTTCTTATTATGGCATTGTACTTTGAAAAAATCTATCAATTGTAGTATTATACTCACATTTTTTTCTCGTTTGGAGATTATACTTTGAAATTGGAAGGAAAATATAAACGAGGGCAGATTTGTAAAAAGTTAGGGCTTTGTGGGAAAAGCCTCATTTCCTTGACTTTTTCTCTATAAAGTCATTCTTTCAGCATTAAGCGAAAAAAGAAACACTCATATATAGCTTACAGAATTAAGTTCTTTTCTCATCAAGTTAAAAAGAAACAACACTATAGTTTCACATAAATTATCTTAATCATGTAAGCTAAGCAATTGGTATTGCTTTCTTATTTGTAATCAAATGTCATAAGAGGAAAGGCACTCTCTTTCTTTTCATTCCAAGCATTTTTCCTTTTTTTTGCGATTTTGTTAATTGTATATTTAGTTTCTAGAAATAACTAGTCGTCTGTTACAACTTATAATCTTCAAGTTTTAATGATTTTATTTTTTATGTTTAATTTTATACTTAAGTAAACAAAAGATTCATTTGTTATAATTAAAGAATATATAGAATAGAGTTAAAACTATACACTGTATTTAGAAACAACATAAAAAATTCATTCCCATCTTATAAACCAACCAAACATAATTATCAAATGTAATAACTTATACATTATTTATGATGTGTTGACTCTATCCATGCTTTTTATTTTAATTCACTTTTTCTGATTAGTTATCATGTGTAGTGGAACTCAATGAACATTGTACTTTTTTTTTTTAATAAATTGCAGGCCAATGGTCAAACTTCCTCCTGTGGTTGTCAATTTGATTGTTTATCTCATTAAATGGATGCATTCAAATACAAACTCAAGAAACATAAGTAAATCTGTCTCAGTTCACAATGTTGTCCAATTAATGTCACACACTACAACCTTCGATTGCTCTGCAGCCCAACAACACCTTGAATACTCACCTGTTGTCTCACTGGATGTAAGTTTTCTGATTTTGTAGTTTATTATTTTTCTAAATTCTAAATTCTAAATTCTTTCCAAAATATTTATTTGGATTTTATAGATTTTTATTAATTGTTAATGTACAGGAAGGTATCACATCAACCATTGAATCATTCTCTCATTTAGCAAAAGGCTCAGCTTCCACAATTTATGATGTACTTAATGAACAATCAAAAATGGAGGAACTACTAGGTGGCGGGGAAGGTAAATATCCATACATTTTTATAAATAGTTTAAAAAGATAATAAATCTAGTTTTGCATAATTTGAATTCTGTTTATTTTGTGAAAATTTATACAATGTTTATTTCTGATTGCTTTAGTATTATATTTATACCACACTGAGCTAAAATATATTTTTTTTATTAAGACATCATTTTTTTTGACACTATTAAAAAATCTACCAATTATAGCAATGAAAGTTGCTTTGTATTTAGTTGACATTGCTATTATTGTGCAGATTTTTCAATATACAATGAAATAAATGAAAACTAGGATGCTATAATAGAGTAATGTATGAAAGTAGATTGCCATATCTTGTATTTACCCCTAGTTTCTAATATAGTGCAAATATTTTTTTTCTTGGGGAAATATTATCTGTGGACTGATAATATATATAGTTTTCTTAATGGAACATCTATCAAAAGGGAGTTTGCATTCTTTTGTAAGAAGACTAAAATTTGTTTTTGATTTACATGAGAAAGAGAATTACATGTGTTTGGTGTGGTCTTCAATTATACTTTCGGAATAATCTACTATTCTATGTAAAATATACAGAAGCATAATAAGCATCTTACTAATAGTAACCTTGTCATTTACGTTTCAAAATTCTTAATTTCTATGTTTTGAGCAAAAAAAATATTAGTTTTTTTATATGAGTAATTTTACTTCCCTTTGTTTTGTCATGGATGCAGTTGCAGCGATTTTGTTATGGAGAGATGAGAGGAAATCATTCGTATGCTTTTGTGGAGTGGTTTCTGTGTTCTACTGGTTTTTTCTTTCTGAAAGAACAATTGTCTCATCTATTGCTCTGATGCTGTTGGTTATCACAATTTTTCTATATGGATATGCTTCATTCTCTGATGCAAATCCCCAAATGTCTACTCAACTGTAAGTAGTAACCTTGCCCAATTTTTTTTTAGCATTAAACACCTACTTCTTTTATTTTTAGGTATTTCCATATTTCCTAGTTCAAATTTTTCTGCAACTTGGGTTCCTACAGTTCTAGGTATTTACGTTTTGAGGTCTCTGAAACTGGTATGAAGAGTTGTGTGAAAGTTATAGCAAACATTTGGAATGAAGTAGGTCGTGTTACTAGATCATTGGCACAAGGAAAAGACTGGAATTTGTTTTCAAAGGTACTTTACTATATTTTAAGATACTTTCATTTATTTGTTTATTAAACCATTCTACTTTCATTTCTTATACTCAACTGGTGCAGGTAGTAGCTTCGCTTTATCTTTTCAAGTTGCTTATTGTCAACTCTTTCCCCAACTCATTGGGAGTAGGTATGCATCTCTAATCATATCTTATTTTTTTTTATTTCTCTCTATTACAACATTCTACTTTCACTTTTTTTTTTTTATAATACACAAAAAAATAAAAATAAAGTATGTTGCTATTTATTCTTTAATCTTTTTATGTAACCCCAATGCAGCGTTGGCTTTTTCGTTTATTATGTTCTTTGTTTACGAGCAATACGAAGAGGAAATTGATGGCATAATAGGGATTTTAATGGAGCTTGTGAGACAATTAATGGTATTTGTGATGAGTCATCTACCCTTGATATCTGCTCTACATAAAACCACCACTAGATCTTCAATGAGATAAATGTATTACCTCTTTCAAATTATCCAAAGTTTGGAAGATTATGAGATATTTTAGCAACAAATAATCAATCTCTAGACCTTTTTTTTTTCTTCAAGTTTCTTGCAAATATGAGAATTGTGTTAAATTGAACTGGTTGGATAACATGATAGGTTAGAAGTGCTGACAAAACTTGACTTTGCATAACAATTGTTTTCTTTGAATTTCATATATTGTCTGAATATTTTGTTGTCTTGCTTACTTGTGCATTCCCCTCCTTAAATTTAACTTATTTGTCAGAACTTGATTTTGCATATAAGAGGTACATGAAGCTAAATGGCCTAATGAATTTATGTGTTGTATAAACATACTATACAAATACACATGATACATAATGAGATTTTCATTTTATCAAATTGGGTTATATCATCCATTTGTATCTGACATCGAAACTATAGACTATAATTAATAGTAACATACTTTTTTTTAGCTATAGCATTAGTCTCTCATTTTAGGTTATGCAGCTTCTGTAAATTACCAAGGTAAACTTTTGAACATTTGGGGTGCTGATGTTAAATATATGTATCATAAGTACGTTTTTATGTTAGTGTGTTACTCATGATATTTGATACAAAAGAATACGAGAGATGAAGAGAAAACTATACTCCTCTTTTATTTATTGTACTGATCTAACACAAAAAGAAAAAGGAGAAAATAATATAAATACTAAACATGTATAGGGTTGGCTCAACCCTTTCAACCCAATAATTATGATTTTATCCCCAACAAGTGTTGATCTTGTTTTCTGAAGTATTTTGAGCCCCATCACACTAGTCAATTCAAATTCACATGTCCATACTGGTACCCTCATGTGCAAAAGACAAGTTAATGAGCTTTTGGACTTAGGCATGACTCATCCCAGTAAGAGTGCATACTCTAGTCCCTTCATTTTGGTTCGGAAGAAAGACAATTTGTGGATTACATGGCTTCAAACAAAGCAACAATCCTTGATAATTTTCTGATTCCCGTGTGTTAGATGAGTTACACGGGGCCAATCTGAAGTCGGCTATAATTAAATTCGAATGAAACCCGAAAATATAGAGAAGACCGCTTTTAGAACACATGACGGACACTACGGATATTTAGTGATGTCGTTCCGTCTGACAAACGTGCCCTTGGCATTCCAAACGGTTATGAACGAGGTTTTTAGACATTTGTTACGCATGAAAGTGGTGATTATTTTTTACGATATATTGATTTATATTGCTACATGGACCACCACATGGAGGACTTGAAGTTGGTGCTGGAGATTTTATCACAAAATCAGACCGTGATGTATTATTATTATTATTATTATTATTATTATTATTATTATAAATGAATTAAATATTTTCTTAAAACAAAACCCAAAAAACTCTTATTATATTTAAAGTGGAAGTTTTAGGGGTATTTGAGAGTGTTTTTTAAAATGATCTATTTGACTTATTGGTCTTTCAAAAAGTCAATAAGTTAAAAAGTTGTTAGGTAAACACTAATTTTCAGTGAAAAAATTGATTTTTTCAAAAAGCCACAAATTTTTGGTTTTTCTAAAAAACCAATAACGAGTTTGAGAAGCAATCCCAAACACGCCCTTAATAGTCATAACAGTTTTAGGCAATCTTGTCGAGCACGATGTAGTCAAGCTGAGTCTATGTTCCTCAAAAATATTAATTAAACAACGGGTAAACAAAAAACTTAGTGAATATATACATTACTCACCAATTATATCGTAAATGGTAGCGAAGCATAACTCATCATAGATCAAACCATATAGCATTGGATCTCCTTTTAGCAACACCATTATACTATGATGTTCTTAGAGGATCCAATTGGGAAACTATTCCTCAATCCATATGATGATCATTTAACTTGATACTAAGGCATTCTCCTTTCCTTTTGGATTGAAGACCCTGTATCTCCATGCCCAATCAATTCCCTACTTTGTACCGATATTCTTTGAAACCTTTTCAAAGTGTCTAACTTATTCTTAATCATATTGTAACATCTCAAAAATCACAACAAATTTAAACTTTTCAAAAACAACTCATTTACTCAAAAAGTGTTTACATAACCATTGTTCCCAAAAACATTTATTTAAAATCAGAGTCTCCCACGATCCAACAACATAAAACCAAGGATGTGTACGGTCACACCTTCGCCTTGCCACGGTCCTCAGAAGTACCTGAAACAAAACTAAAACTATAAGCCAACACTTAGTGAGTTCCACCAAAGTACCACCACATAACATAACAAACAACAACATGCATACAAAGCCTTCAACATGACTAAACCGCCTCACCTGGCCTTCAGCCTACCTGGACCGCTCTCTGGGCCTTTGGCCTGACCGGACTGCCTCGCAGGCCTTCAGTCTAGCTGGACCTCCCTGGGTATCTTGGCCTTCAGTATCAGCTGGCCCGTCTCAACCCAGTAAACCATAACCATAATATATCGATATAAACATTATCACAATAATCAGCAACACATGTAGTCCTATAGATCTACCAGTCTAATCACATAACCAGTAAGCTCATATCTCAACATAACAACATAAAATAACCTGGATATCTAATCCAATGGACCGGCCTTGGTGCCTTCGACCCAGAAGTACAGTGAGGAAAACTCACCTCTTAGTCCGAATACAGTGTGAATGAATCTCTGCTCCGACAACCGGCTCTACCCGACTCCTAATAATCAAAAAATTTCCCATTCTAAATTAGTAACAATTTCCCAAAATACCCTTGGTTAAAATCAGTCAAAATCAACGAAATCAGCCAAGTCAACCCAACCAAGTCAACTCAGCCGAGTCAACTCAGACCTCATACGCGGGGTGTACTTCAGATGTACGTAGGGCGTACTCACTGTCTGAGGAGTCAGGGCTTGAACTGCGTATGCGCAACATACCAAATAGTATGCCCAACGTACGCAACTAGACTTCCACTTAATGAATTAAGAGCTTAATACTTAAGCTATTACGACCAAATTGCAGATCCAAGTCCTAAATATCCTCATTGACCATAAAGTTTCCAACTTTATGGTCTTGCATGGCCAATAAGTGCTAAATGCTAAAAACCCCATCCTCTTAACCCATTAAGACAATCAAACATATGGGGCTTACTCACTGTATGAGGATTCGAGTCTTGACCTACGTACGCGTAGCGTACCAAATGGTACGCCCATCATACATATGATTTGTCAGAAAGATAGCTTGAGTACTAGGAGTTATATGGATGAGTGACATAACCATTGTCTCTGTCGAGGTGTTGGGGAGGTTTTAATCAAGACATTGCTTCATTTGCAAGTGGTGGAGTTCCTTGTTAAAGGAATGGTCAGTTTTGTGCCTGAAGAAGCAGGAATGATTGTCAGCATTAGAGAGTCGGTATTAGAAATTTCAGAGCCTAGGTTTTAGAGTTATGGGAGTTTTGCAAAGAGTTGGGCTGTGTTTCTAGGCATGGTTAAGGATTTTGATGGCGAGATACTTACTATCCCAGTAAGGTAAATGTAGTTATTGATGACCTTAGTTGGAAGTCGGGTAGTGGGCCACTTCGTGAGTTGTTTCTATGAATGTCGATGTTTAATCCTCTATTTGAGTTGATGAAAAGCGATATGGAGTGGCTTTTCAGGACGAGAACGCCAATTGCACATGGGATCAAGAAACTGTTGTTATGGACATTCAAGGTTATTTGACATATCAAGTTCTGGTATGTGTTCCTGCACTGGAGGTAACGAGTAAATATCTACACCATGGAGGTTATAGCTAGGCACGGGATGCCATTTTTTATGGTCTCTAATAAGGATATGCAGTCCATGTATCAGTTTTATGAAAGGTTTTAGGAGGAAATGGGTACTCAGTTGCGATTTGGCATGTCCCCATTCATCCTTTTATGTAGTAAGAAGTACAAGACGTCTATGTGTGGGGTAAGATCGCTCATCGAGTATTAGGGAGCACAAATATTGTTCTTAAGACAAATGACATGTTTCAGTTTGGCAAGCAACTCAAACATGTAGAGAAGCCGGTTGCTATCCTTGAAGGAGATATGAAGACATCGTGCACAAGGAATTGAGTTAGTAAAAGAAAAATAAAGACATTAGAAATGTCCCAGGTGGATCTGAGAACTGAAAGTGGAGTTGCAGGTGCATGATACCTATCGTTTGCTAGCAGTGACTTCGAAGACGAAGTCCGATTCAAGTGAAAGAGAGTTGTAACACTCCGTTTTCCGTTAGTTATTTTAATAAAAGAATATAAGTATAAATAAAATTAAA